GTTTTAATTTTTAAAATTTCGTAATTTTGTTTTAAAGTTTAATACGTATTCAGGCACTTATTTTCTGCGAGTCTTTTGAATCAAGCACTCCGCTCCAACTTTCTAACTGACCAAATGAGTACATTGCACTTATAAAAGATAGAGTGGAAACATGAGAGGGAAACAAAAACAATTGCAAATTTATTATTAGTGTGAAAGGATCTTTTTAACTGTTTTATCCCCTCTTGAAAAACTAGGTGTTCGAGGGCAAATCAGTGAAAGGGACACGAGGGACTCTACTACAGGGAATGACCAGGCAAATACAGGGAGCAGAACAGATGTTTTCCAGGCAAGGGAAAACACAGGAATGACACTGAAAGTAAAGGAGTGAGCAAATGCGATTCAAATAGAGCGAGATTGTGAATCCAGTTTGATGACTCCTTGGGAAGCGATATTAATTACATCGCTCGTTTGGAGTCACTTTCGCGACGTTTTTGGTTACGAATAAGACTCGTTTTGAGTCATTTTCGGAAACATCGCTCGTTTAGAGTCGTTTTTGCGACATTTTCGTTTACGAAGAAGACGCATATTCAGTCATTTCGCAAAAACCGCTCTAACAGAGCCTATACGTCGTTCTATTCGGGCAAGAATAAAGCTCGCTTTACGTTTTACAGTGGAGGCCGTAGCCAAGGGCTCGTGACAGTAATATTACTGTTGAAAAAAATCTGAAAATTCAGACTAACTTTTTCAGACTACGCTGTCTGAATCGAGTTTTCATACTTATTCATCGAAATTATAATACTGAAGTCTGAAAATTCATACTAACTACCCAGAAATTCAGACTAAATTCCTTTAAATTCAGACTAAGTTTCTCTACATTCAGACCATGCACTCTGAATATTCAAAGTATCTACTCCGACTAGATATGAATTTGCGAAGTATGAATATTCAGTCAAATTGACTGCAGAATTGTTTCAGAGCGAAGGTACGCGTAGGAAGACAGGACCATGCGGCAGAGCATCTGACCACCAAAGACCATTTGTTTACGTAATAAAACAAACTATTATGTGACCATTATCATTTATTGCATTTTCACAGATATTTTCACTGGATTTCATGAATGTTTCAACTCCTCTAAAACCTTTCAGAAGACAAAATTTTACCGTCAAAAGGAATTACAAAAATTAAAAACAAACAACAACAAAACAGTAACAATTTGAATGCGAAGTTACATTTTATGTAAGTAGTAGCTTGTATTCACTTAAGAATTGGGTTGTAGCTAACCATTTTATAAAATCGTATACAATATTGATTGTAACAAGTTCTCAGTGTCTGCCAATAATAATCTGGACAGAAACTTAATTTGGTCTATAACTGTCAAATGAATTAAATTCCCTTTATATCTGGGTCAGAAAAGCATCTTCGTTGTTTGCATTTTTTTTCTTTGAAACATGCGCATTTTGATAGTACGTTGCTACTAATGTACAAAAAACAAATAGAAATATCTGGACAATTATCTTTGAGACCATTATGAAGCAAGGGAGGGGTCAATAGGAGCATCTTTTATTCTTGATTTGAACAGAAAACGAACTAGACTTGAGAGATGGAAAAGTACATCTAAATATTTGACTTCTGCCATAAATCACTTCTAGTGAGAAATATTTGGAGTGATTACTTCCACCCCAGAGAATGGTCTTTCTCATGTGACAGCCAAAACAATAATACAAAAATAGTTGTGTTCATCAATAAGTCAATGGCTGTGGTGTTGAAAGTTAAATATTACGTATACAGGACTTTACTCGAGCGAACCAACCACTGGGAACTGCTGGATAGTGATCGACCAATCACAGGACAGAAACAATATCTCTTATGGTTTGAAGGCAAACAACTAGTTTCGTATACTTTTTATGTACGGCATTTTATTTTAAGTGAGGTGTGGTCAAAAATTAGTTAAATATGTAAGGGGGTAATTCAAAGCGACAGAACCTATTTCGGACAAGATTTCAATATTCTCCTCCTCCACCCTAGGTGTCGTGTGCAAGAAAACGTTAACAATTCTTGTTAACTGTCAACCCACGGTTAGGGAAATTTAGTCAAGGTGTTATAGGCACTTTGATGGCATGCAAAAGACTGTTTAAATCCTTGATGCGTCTTCTTGCGTAGGCATTATGGACTCCTAGTTTTAAAATCATACACTATTTTTCACGCGGGCGGCATGCGCTCGCTGAGCGGACTATTCAGTGCAAAGGTGCTCATTGTTGGCTGTTACCTAGAGGCGGCTCAAAATGCAATAGGTGGTGTTGAACCATAAGGTTGCCCCCCCCCCCCCCCCTTCCGCCGCGCAGAGAGGAGTTTAATAGCATACTCTTATTTACTTCGAAGACTTGAATGGTCTTCATTCAATTTTACCGCGTGCATAGCAAACTATCTTAGTGTTCGTGTTGGAAAAAAAACAAAAAACGCTCGAAAGCTACTTCGCGTGACTTTTAACAATACTTTTACAGACCTAGTTACTAGGCATCTAGTAATTGTGACTCTACCTTAGCTAGTACATAACACCGAAATCCTAGTGAGCCATACAGTTTTCCTAGTAACAATAACCATCATCCATTTAACTAGGATTGGTGTGAAGTGATTCCTTATAGTATTTTTTTTTTTAGTGTTACTTAGCGCAATTCTTTGCAGGCCCGTAACTGCCACTCCCGTTGGTCAGAGCCATGGCAAACGGAGTACACAACACGATTTGCTTCTAGAGGTTTTGAAGTAGTCGAATTAGGTTGTCAGTCGAGATAGGTTCAGTCGCTCTACAGAGTGAAAATTGTGACAAATTATCAAGTTAAAAATGACTCAGAAATAAGGTAAAAGATAATGAAGGATAATTTTTCTGCATACACTGACGTGCACTGGCGTGCACACGCAAGTGCTCAAAACTATGTTGCACTTACTGGATATTTGAACACTATAGAGTGTTTCACAGTAAAGTTGAATACTTTAAAGTGTTAACTTCAGGGTTGGTCATGAAGCTTTAGACAGTTTAAGGTGTTCAAATTTCATGTTGAACACTAGTAAGTGTTCAAACTTGATGTTGAACACTAGTAAGTGTTCAAATTTGATGTTGAACACTTGAAAGTTTCCTAATTTAATGTTAAACACTTGACGCGTTTAAATTTAATGTTAGACACTTTACGATGTTCAAATGTCCAGTCCAGCATCTTAGAGTGTGCACCATAGAGTTCGACACTACCATCTGCATCCCAGTTGCACATTTTTATTTTCAGTGTACTCGATACTATAATTTAACCAAACAGCGAATGCACAACTTAAAAATGTCAAAGATTTTTAATTTTCACCCACACCTGACTTAAGTTTGACCCTATTACACTGCCTTGTCTAACTAAATAAAATCTTGAAGAAATATTCAATCACAGTATCCCCCAGTTCCAATGGCTGAAGGACCATGAAAAACAAACATGTCACACAAAAGTGTAATATCATGCATTAATAAAATCTAACATTATTTAACTGTACAACAACTGTATAGTATCTGTAAAAAGTTGCGTATACATAGTTTAGGTGGAGACCATCATTCTTTTTTATTTGAAACACAGGGGTAATTGTTGGCCCGGGAGAAGGCCCGGGTTGCTGAGTCGGCAAGACATCAGCTACGTATACCTTAGGCAAGACCGAGAACGTGACTACCCACTGACTTTCTGTAGAAAGGCCACAGCTAAAGTTGTCGGAAAAGGGAAAACAAGAAATGTGGGACACACGAATTAGAGTTAACTGGACGAAAATAAATCAACAATATTTCTGAATTCAAGGGGAAGAACCCCGAACAACCCCCACGATGACTAGTCAGTAGGCACTCTGTCGTATCTAATTTTAAAATAAAAACACTGAGCTCTTCTCGGGGCGAGCGCGGGACGGGCCCCGCTCTCGACGCACTTTAAGTCCTAGGGCTCTCGCCAGCCGCGGAGCCTACAGCTTCTGTCTCTTGAGGGAGGTGGCCTGGTCGCACGAGTCCGCCGAGTCGTCGTCGTCATCCTGGTGGGGTGGCTGCACGGGAGGGAAGTCCGGGATCTGTTCACGGAGGGCGGCGGGGTGGCCAGCGTGGGCGCCCCAGCCCCCCGGCGGCGGGGACCCGGACAGCTTCGGCGTCACCCCGACCTGCAACAAAAGCAACACGAGAATCATCATCTCTCATCGGTCGAGATTACTGTCCAGTCACTCAGCACTCTAAACGCCGTTGTCGCCTTGCTTGCTCAAAATACTGGTATTTCCTTTTGGAGAGAAATGTTAGCGGAAAGTGATCCCACACTCGGACAAACCTAACCGCATGCGAGGGGTGGGGCTTAAACAGCCACGTATGAATACCGCCAGCCTATCGGCAGCCTATACTCTACGCGGGGCGGGGGGCGGCGGGGCGGCTGGGAGGGGAGGGGACATGTGTGAGTCCGTCTCGACACTATCGCGGGCCTCTTCAATTATTGAAGTAGGGTCGAGAACCGGACTTGGCACGACTTTGCAGTGAAAGTGAGTGTGTGTGTGTGTGTGTGTGTGTGTGTGTGTGTGTGTGTGTGTGTGTGTATGAATCGCAGCGGCGGTGGGGTGGGGCGAGGTGTCGCCCAGAGGTCCGACTCCCGGCCCATGAATCTTGCATGGCGATGCTGAGGCTGGGATCACAGCGACCACACTTTACGCCCCGCTCGCTGCTCGCCGGCGTGTTTTTCTCCTCGGCGGAGAAAACTCGGCGCGAGGGAGGAGGCAGAAGGGTAGAGGGAGAGAGATAGGGCGACAGAGAAAGAAAGAGGGAGAGAGAGAGAGAGAGAGAGAGGCGGGGAAAGGGAGGGGGGGGGCTGAGGGGTGAACAACAGAGAAGAGCGCAGTAATGGAATGGTCGAAGGACTGCGCTCGGGAACGCCATTCGGAGGTCATCCTTACATTATGTGGATCGTCCCGCCCCGCCTCGCCCAACCGACGGCCTTGTATAGTGAACGCGAGCGAGTCTGATTCATCCACCTAGACAGGCGGCCCACACCCTTGTTCCCTCTTCAACGTTTCTCTTTCGCGAGGGAAAAATGTATTTGGGCCGCTGCAGAGTAGAAACAACATACTATGCCACACGGCGTAGTTAGTTTCATGTTTTTAATTGTTGAAATATTTGGTGAAACCGAGCACATTGTGGGGACTTTTTAGCGTGCGTTTGCGCCCAGTGGGCTGTGGCAGTCCACCACCGCCGCCACAGCGCGCAAGACGAGCCAGTTATAACGAAATAAAAGAGACAGGGCCCAGGACCCCAGCCGAGCCGGGCGGGGGATGGGGCGAGCGTCCCTGCGAAATAAGAAATAAGCGATGATCCTGATGGCCAGTTTATGTGGCCACATATCAGTGGTCCGTGTGCCGGCGTGTAAAGATCCTCGGAAGGGCTGTAAACTGAACTGACCCTCGCGGCTGGGTGTATGAAATAGTAAGACCTCGCCGGTAAACCATTTTACGAGCGACCGGGGCGGCGCCTGGGGGCTACGGACCTCATTACAAACCTGTGCGGCAAACCCGGGGACGGACTGACTTTAAGGCGTGCAACCGATGCTCCCTCTGTCTCTATCTTGTCTCACTCTCTCTCTCTTCACGGTAAAAACAAGTCTTTTGAATTTCACGATTCGGTCGTGGATGGCGTTCTATCTCCATAAGATTGGAGACCGGGTCTTGATATACAAGGAGCTTGTTTTACCATCTCTTTTTCTCAAACATGTATTTTTAAAGAAAATATTTGTTTGGTCGAGGGGTCGTCAACTTCGATATTCCTCCGTACACGGACTGATATTACCTCAAATATTACACCAATATTAGCCATATTACTGGTAATATTACCTCGATATTACACATTTTTCTAGTATTATGACGTCACAGCTTGAAAATTGGCTTAATATTACCAATATTATTTGTAATATTCAATATTCTTCCCTACACGGCCAAGGAGAGTTGACGACCCCTCGTGTTTGGTGGTATTTTTTTTTCAGAGAAACTTCTTCTGGGCCAAAACTGTGAGAGATACGATACAGATAGAAAGAAAAAAAATTGGCATCAAGAATTCTACTTTGATGAGTAACCCCTTTTAAACTCCCCCTTCACACCTTTTGGGGAAGTTGCCAGGATTTGCCGTAGACGTATCGTTGTCCAGGAGTAAATCCTAAAATTCTCTGAAAATTTGACCTCTCTAGTTCTTCTTGTGACACAGATTGACTGGATGCACGGGAGTCACGCGCGTCGCCCTTGGAAAAGCGACGCATTACTTTCCGTTTCTCCTTTGGAGAGCGCAGCTTGCTTTTGTCGCTCTATTCCAGTGACGCTTTTGAAACATTGCTGGGAGAGGGAGGTTAATCTTGCAGCCGCCCCTTGACTATCGATTAGGTCGATAAACATTGTTATCGGGGTATATCTAAGGCCTAGAGAACACGGCAAATTTCACCATCTTTACAAATCTGGGGTTAGTTTTGATCGGAGCAGACGGATACTTCTTTAACATTACCCCACGCCCCCACCCCCACTGCGGGTATTGGTATCGCATCGCGCCCGCGCCTCGTCCAGGACTCACTGTGTGTTATGCTTTTTTAAAAGCAGACGGGCGGGCAAAACTAGGAAATCTCTCATTGCTTTCTCCCTTTTTTGGATAAAAACTCACTAATGAAGTCTGACCTAAACGCAGTGCGAGATTTTCTCCCTTGCCTTCCATTTAAATGATAATTTAGCAACCTTACTGTTATTGAGTGAGATTCCAACATCTCACTCAAATTAAGAGACTAAGATTAGAAATCATTGCTCAAATAGAGCGAGGTTTCCAAATGATCACTCAAATAGAGTGAGATTCCTTAATCTATCACTCTGAACAAGCGAGAAAATCAAACAATTTTTTTACAGCACAATTCTTGCTCTCGGATTTCTAGAGTAAACGCCTCTTGTCCTGTAACTACCGTCTAACGTAACGTCACGTCGTCTAAGTGGGCGGGTAACGACACATTCCGTCTCGATAAACCAGAGGCGCTGCGGAGGCGCTCGCTCACTAGCTCGCTACTTTGAATGAGAAATCCTAGACGCTTTGTTCCGTACGGCAATTAAACAGACGAGGCGCCGCGCTTCGCCAAAGCAAGCGAAGCAGGCCCCGACAACTTTGCAAACGACGAACACGGAAGACACAGAGGAAGGGGCGAAGAGGAGAAGGAGGGATAGTGGGAGTAAGGGGCGGGGGAGAGAGAGAGAGGGGGGGGGGATGTTGAATTACGTATGAAGGCGTTCGAGTCGGAGCAGCGCAGAGAAAAACGTTTGTAGAAAAGTAGGAATCGTGTGGAGGAAAAGTAGAAGAGAAGAGGAACTGGTGAGGAGAAAACTACACGGCGTAGAGGCAGGCACCAGGCGCCAACCTGAAGAGGACGAGGACCCGCTCAAACGGGAGACCAGGCCTTCACAGAGCCTCATTTGCCAATGAAAAGTTGCGTCTAGCAATAAAGAGCACCTTTTTACCAGATGAAACTTTAAATACTTTCACTAAATAGAAAGAATACATAAGTAAATTTAAGGTGTCAGAGCTTTAACTCTCGATAAGCAGCAAACCCAGAAATAGCATATGCGCTGGGGGATGGTGAGTGACTGGCTGGCTGGCTGAGTGTCGTGTCGCACCAGGCCCCTTCCCCCCTTCCTTTCCTTGCCCTGCCTCACAATAACGCGAGGGTTAGGCCGATGGCCCCCTTCCCTGACCAACAATACTGGGCCACCGCCGCCAGCCGTCCTGCCCTGCCCGCATATGTCCTCTACGCCACTAGGCCACCGAATTGCAAGATTGCAAGCAACTAAACAGATTGCAGCTAATAAGACAAAATAAGATCATAGCCCTATTCATTAAATTTTTAGACAGTCCCTAAGATTGTCTCTATTTTTAAAAATCTACATATCAAAGTATTAAGATAGATAACACGCGGCTTGCTCCTGCCGGCCTACAATGACAAAATCAAACATGTTGTGTCCAGCAGGTGTGCGGCTTAAGTCGACACCCCTTATGTCAGTAATTGGTGCTAAATAAAAACGTAGGTATCTACTAAGAAATAAATCAGAACAAGTCTGAGAGTGTAAATGGAGCAATATAAGGAAAGCGCCAGGCAGGTGACGGCTGACGACAAAACGCGACAGAAAATAAATATACACATACATAAAAAACAACATATAAACGCGTTGATACACATATGGTACGGCAGAGTGCGCACAGTTAATATGCATATGTAAATCTGCTCGTCAGACGAAAAGAATGGTCTGCATAATGCTTTTGCAGGTACAACCGTCTTCCGCCATAACTCACTCAGCACAGCACCCCCTCCAGGGCACGGCGGCCGGCGGTGGAGGGGAGGCGAGGCGTGGGCTTCAGAGAGGGGCGAAACGCTTTTACATTTATTCGCAAATATTTCAAAAATAGACGTGTCACAATCTAATCGCGGACTACTCTAAAATGTCTACAATGTTCAAATGTTGCTACTTTTTTTGCCAAATGAATGTTTGATGGTGATTTTGAGAGGCTCTCTTGCCGCGCGTCAAGCCCACGCAC